TAGATATTTTCCATTCTAATGAGTTTCGCCATCTGAATTTTGAATCTCCGTATTTTTTTTTTTTTGTGGGGTAAAATCCACATATATGCATATGCAACATTCTCACATTCATTGATCATTTAGATATATTTACTGAGCACCTACCACTCATGCCTGCCACCCAGACTCACATGTGCACTGCAGTGTAAGCTAGAATTCAGAAGGAAACCAACACAGTCCTTCTATTCCGGTGTGGGAGACAGGCATTCAACAGTAACCCAAGGGACACATTTCTAATTATGTGTTGTGTAGCTGTAAACTTATGGACATGAGGTTGGATTGAGCTTAAACTGGAAGGGCAGACACATAAGTAAGGCCACTTGGAGACAGTGATGTTTAAGCTGAGTTCTGGAGTATGAGCAGAAATCTGGCAGGAGGAAAGCTTAAGGAATTTGTTGTTGACAGAGGGAAGGGAAATGGCAAAGCCCTGAGGGGGAAAACAGGGCAGCAGGACAAAAAGCTGTACTGAAGTGATGATTTTATTTTCATTTCCTAACTGCTGCACTAGAACATATGGTATTTCAGGTTCTTTTACACCCACTTCCACGGGGCAAATAGGTGACTTCCTGCTGTGTTCTGCCAATAGGAAGTGCTCCAAAACCTACCAGTAGGAGGTGCTGTAAGACCAGAAGACAAAGAAGATTCCTCATTTGCTCTTTATTTCTCCTGGCATGAACCTAGCTTTAATTTACCCCAAAAGTAATTGATTCCTTTTTCTCCCCGTCACTTTTCCACCCCCCCCCCCGGATTTCTCCTTCCTCCTTTAGAGAAGTCAGAACCAACGGGGCAGCCAGCCTGCCTTCCTCAGATTTCTGAGTCCCACCTGCACAGGGCACCCCTTCTAAGTTCTTAGATTCTTCAGACTTCATCCTCTTTTGTCTCCTCAGACTTAACTGTGGTAACTGCCTCCTGTAGTCACCATCTTTGTTTCTTTCGTGTTACCTGCCTTCATTTGCAAGTCCTCCAATATCTATTTAGTTAATCCTGTGTATTTACATTTTGGTATTAAGATCATTGGTGAAGTACCTGCTCTCCTGCTTCTGACTGCTGCACTGGGTGATCTTGTCCACACTCAAAGCCCTAATGGGAAACCCCAGCTGGGTATATCCAAGACTGACTGTCCCTAAGAAAAAAAAAAAAAAAAAAAAAAAAAGCTAGTCACAAGCCAAGAGTGATGGCTGTCACAGCAGCTCACATAGCCTTCCCAATCTTCACTCTGCAATATCTTTTCCAAGGTTAGCAGAATTATAAAAACATCAATTTGACCATTATTGACTTTTCAGCTGGGATACCAAGAAAGTCTTTTAGCAGCCTCAACAAATTAAATCTGGCCACCTAGCTCCCAGACTGGAAGGCTCCTGCCTCATTGACGAAAAGAACGAATGCAGTTTTCCTAGCTGCTGCTGTAAATGATGTGCACCATGCACACAGCCATTAGCAGGTGGAAAATTTGGAGTGTGGGTAGATTGCAGAGCTGCCGCTTTTAAAAAATGCATAAGTACTTTGTGAGTCTGCTAAGTCATGTTTCACTCAGCTTGGTTTGAATTTTTCATAGGGGAGAAATATGCTGCCATCTTTTATTATTCCTTCATCTGCAAGGACTACCACAGGTAGGAGTGTAGCAGAAGAGTGTCAAGTCCAGTCACACCTGTTGTTTCCATGGTCCTCAATTGTTCCAGTCACAAATTGCACAAAGACTTTAGACTTCAAGGACTTGCAGCAACTGAGTATCCTGCCCCTCCCCATGTAATTCAAACTATAATTTCCTCCAAACGCTAGAACTGTTTGATGTATCTGCAATGAAAGTTGTATTTGAAAAGACTCATCCACTTTGAAATTAGAATTCGACCCTTTAAAAATGTCTCCTGGTCACATAATTGTAGCCTTTTTTTTCCCCCATGGGGAGAGAATTACCCCAGCCCATTTTCAAACCTCAACACATTAGAAGTGAAAGAATGCTGCAATTTAAAGTACCAAGTATTTATGATACCATTACTTGCTTTAATTGGGGGGATTCTGGAATATCGTGAGTTGGGGACCTTTATTAGATCTTTCGAGATGCCTCAGGACATGTGAGCACATCCCAGTGGGATGTGCTTGTTCTTACGTGTCGCTTCAGTGTTCTGATTTGGTGTACCACTTTTTGGTGGGTGAGGTTCCTGGGAAGAAGGTAGTCAGGCCGACAATGCTTCCTATGGACAAGTGGAGTGATTATCTTCTCATGTTGGATTATTTTCCATTTTTCAGAATGACTTTCCATACAACACTCTAGCTGGAATGTATTCATCTCAACCTCTTTGATTTTGAATATTACAGAGACTTCAGAAACCATCTTATGAATTATCTTGCCAAAATGGTAAAACATTCAAATGGTCTTATAAAATATTGAAGCATGTGGTGCTATGACAAGTTACACTAAAGGTGCAGTTGTTCAATTTCTCTTTAGCAGTCATAATGTCTGGAATAAGATGAATGTAATAGTTCTCTTTGCCTGGAAGCCAGAGAATCCCAGCTGACACTTAAAAATGTGACCACCCCACTGGTCCAGGGAGGAACTAGCTGTGTCAGTGCCAGGTTCCTGGCTCGGTCTCCCTTGAAGGCTGCTTGCCATTTTCCATGGGAGTACTCAGGGGTCCCCATGCTTCAGGGCTTTCGTTGTCCAAACAGCTCAGCTTTCCTTCTGAGTCCATTGAATGGAACAGCTTTTCCATGGGAAAAGAGTCTCCCAGGCTTGCATTTTTACTGGTTCCAAGACATTTATGCCCCAAATATTTTCTTATCTTTCTTTAAGATAATCGGCAGGTTTGTCCTTGCACATAGAATTTCTTCTTTTTCTCCTTTCTATCATCCCCCTCCCCCTCTTTCTGTTTCTGCAAAGGCTAAATTCAGTTTCTGAACTTTCCCACAAAGGACCAAGCCATTTTAACTCTGGTTTGACTGTATTTCTTTAGTCCAGTTCTTTGGAATAGTTTCTTACTTGAGTCTTATTGGGGCAAAGATGGCCGAGTTAGGGAGGCAGATGTAGATTTTATCTACTAAAGGTGAAAAAAAATGATTCTCTCAAAATCCGTACTAGAGAGAGAGGCCAGCTTCCATTGCTGAGAATTTTGATTACCGCCTGGCACGTGTTTGAAAGTTCCTGTGTCGCATGGAAGGTATCTATTTGTCATAGCCTGGGATAACATTGCACTTCTCTGATTTCTTTCAGCTCATTGGATTGTTGCATTTCATTTATTGGTTATATAACCGTAGTGATTACTCAGTTTCATATTATAATGTGACTTTAAAGCATGGCTCTATGTTGCTTATATGACTACAGTCAATGTTTACAACCTCTTTTAAACTCCTTAGGGAAAAATGTAAAATGTAGGTATCCAATAGGTAGGCATTATGCAACAAGATAGCACGTAACTTTCCTAATAGTTTTCATTCACTTTTGTTTACTTTGCAGATATTAGAAATGGAAGTGAAGTAGGTTAGAATGCAAATCAAAATTGGTTCCATTGGAAAACTTTTAAAGATACATCATAATCCTTGTATTTAATCTAATAAAGAAAATGTTTCCAGTTTTTTGATCCAAGTTCAACTATCTGTATAAAATATCAATCATGTAATGTATTAACACTTGATAACATTCCATTTAGGATTCCAGGGGGATGTGAAAGAATTGGGCAGTGATATGTTTAGAAAGTTGCTTTGTTCTGTGAGTGTGGATTTTTCTAGCTTGTAGAGCAGTAGCTTTACCTGAAGAATTCCTCTCTCCAAATTGCTCAATGCCACATTATCAATCAAGACTCGGGGAAACAGGGTCTCAAAGAAGTTCTTAAGAATAAAAGAGACATTAGTGGATCATGTAAGTGAAAGTCCCATTGACAAGTCAAGCTTCAACCATGGCTGAACCCATGTATCGAGGAGTTACTGGATCACATGCATTTAGGAGTTACTATTCCTAGGGCTGTTTACTGGGTGACAACAACACTTCACTGTGTTCATATTAGGAGCTCACGGTCTAGTAGCAGAGATGCATAAAGTATCGTGAAAAACCATTAAAATAAAATGTGATGTGTATAGAAAAAGACCTACAGAATACCTCAATTCATAGGAATGAGATAGCTGTTTCTCTGGGATAGGGAGAAAGAATTTCATGAGGAAGCAGAAGCTTGAATATGGGCTAGAAGCAGAAACAGAAATTTTACAAACAGGCAAATTGAAACGGGTTCATTGCCTTATTTGTGGCATTTGAGAACCCTGCGTTTAAATCCAGCTTTGTCTTGTGATACAAACTGTATTAAGTTTCTTAATTTCCTTGGTCTTAGTTTCCCTGTATGGTAACTGCAGTGAAACTATTGAGTTTATAGCATTATTGTGAGGCCTGTGAGAAAATGAGCGTCCAGATCTTAGATAGCAGCCAGCTAAGGGAAGCCCCTTTCTCTGCCTGCTTGCTTTCCACTCTGAGGCACTTCTCATGTTGCATTTGACTGTTCACACACAGGATTTCGTATTGAGGCTTACTGTCAGCCGTGGTAAAATTGGACACTGACACTGTGTTTTTGGGGCTTATTGTATGCTATGTACTGCCTTCAGAATTTTACTTGACAGATCTGTATCCTCTCTACAAATCTGGTAGTTGGAAGGTATTGTCATCTAATACATGAGGAAATAGAAGCCTTGAACATTGAAGAGTTTTGTGTCAAGGCCACTAGGTTAATACATGGAATAGCTGGATATTCCTGTGCAGTGATATCCAAATGTAGTATCCGTGGGTTTAAGAATTAATCTGCCTCGACTGCATTACACAGGTGGGATTACGAATCTCCTACTCTCGTGGACTTGACTTGACTGTATGCATCCCCTTTTCTTCTCAAAGTGTGATGCGTGTGCTTGAGTCTCCAAGTGCTGTGCTGTACGGTATTGCAACCTGAGCTGATAGTAATCTCTTGTGTCCTGTGCTTTGCTTGCAGGGGAGCCTTCCAGGTGGTCATCCTCGCACTGTGACTGCTGCTGTAAGAATGGCAAAGGTGACAAAGGAGAGAGCGGGACATCTTGCAATGACCTCTCCACCTCCAGCTGTGACAGCCAGTCAGAAGCCAGCTCTCCTCAGGAGACCGTCATCTGCGGGCCTGTGACACGCCAGACCAACATCCAGACTCTGGATCGTCCCATCAAGAAGGGTCCGGTCCAGCTGGTCCAACAGTCCGAGATGCGACGGAAAAGCGATTTGCTTCGGACCCTAACCTCGGGCTCTAGGGAGTCGAACGTGAGCAGCAAAAAAAAGGCTGTTAAGGAAAAGCTCTCAATTGAGGAGGAGCTAGAGAAATGCATCCAGGATTTTCTGAAGATAAAAATTCCAGATCGGTTTCCCGAGAGAAAACACCCTTGGCAATCTGAACTTTTACGAAAATATCACCTATAGGGAAGGGCTGGGATGGGAGAAGAAAAAAAAAAATCTGAGTCACCATTTTGGAACCCTCCTAAAATCGTATTTTACAGAAAAAAAAAAAAAACTGATGAGACATGTTTGTTAGAACACAATAATCCATTGATGTCTACTGCCTACTTTACCTAGTTCACTTTAACATGTAAATCCACAGGGTAGATTTCTTTCCAAATGTGGAAATATGAGAAACCCTCTTTTGCTGCTGTTGTTTTTTTGTTGTTTTTAATTTGGTCCCATGAGTTGAGTATCTTATACATCTGAAATCCAGCTACCTAAGAATAGCTGTGATGCCTTGGGAGTCATTTCTCTGAAACTGGGTTTTTTCTCTCTCTCTTGATCTACTTCCTTCTCTGGATTTGACAGAAGGAGATTGAACCAAATGCTTAGAATTTTTTTTTTATTATGTATATTTTTTTCTGTGTTTTCGGGAGTGTTGCGGGTGAGGGTGGGGATGGTGGATTTCTATGACTTTTCTCTATGTGCCAGTTTATATTGATTGTATGCATGAGGATTTGTGCCACCCTAGCACAGCTAAGTATGTATATATACACACACAGCAGAGGTCCCCGGGGCCTGGACATCCTGTGGGCTGCGTCCCTGCTCCAGGAGCCCCTCCTAGACTCACACAGATGAGTCTGTGCCTCTTTCTTCAGACCCTCCCAGAGGTTCCTCTCTTGAAAATCCTTTCTATCACTAAACAACCCTCATCAGCAGCACAATTGCTTAGAAGGTAACATTTCAGTCTCCCTTTTATTGCTTTCTTTTATATATATATATATTTCTTTTTAGTGCTAGGAGCAAGCGAGAAGAGCCAGTCCAACATTCTTTATATTAAAAAGAAAAGACAAACATCTGCATCAACACGATTTACTACTGAGTGACAGCACAGAGCCGTCTCCGCCGTGAGGGGAGGATCACTCTTGGCTCAGCGCGTCAGTGTCCTCACTGCCCACATTGTAATGGTGTGGCCTTTCCGCGTCCTCCACACTGAACTTCTCTATATTCCTGCCTAACTGGGGAATTAGGAAGAACACACAGTACCTGAGTACTTTTTATTTCAGGGGAAAATGTATTTTTCATTTCTTACAATAGTTTCTCGTAAAGATTTTACCCTGCAATGCTACATGATTGTCGTATCCAGTTTTGGTTGCTGCTAGGATTCTGGGACTTGGCTGTGTCCACATGAAGATTTAGCTATGTCATTTTGACAAAATCCGTAATAACCCTCATATGTAACTGGGGCTCGCTGTATAGACACAGCCAAAAAAAAAAAAAAAGCCCTGTTAATAGTTTTCTAACCATCCATGTGATTCCACATTCTATTAATGTAACAATAATACTTTTGTAGACTTGTGCTACATCAGTGTTGAAAGATGAGTTTTTATTTTCAGCATCTTTCATTCATTCTGTTGGTAAGTGAGAAATTGTTTTCAAAGGTTCATTGTGTGCCAGTTGCTCCCCCTAATTTTCTATAATGTGTGTGTGTGTGTGTGTGTGTGTGTGTGTGTGTGTGTGCGCGTGTGTGTGTAATAAGGGCAACTGGATGATATCTAGGAGGGAAGAATAATGACCAATTTCTTCCCTTTGAAATCTTTTGCTAATGTGCATTTATCATATAAGAGGTTCTGTCCTGATTCTGCTCTCGGTATAGGGATATTTTTTTTTCTGATTTTTGCAGTTCTTCCCTTCCCCTTGGATGACAGAATAGCCAGTGTTTTCCTGCCTTAATCGTTTGAATGAGGTCTACAGTTTTACTTAAATGAAACAGGAAGTTTATTTTGGGAGTTGAATTACTCAGACAATTGTAATTTATGGGTTGAAATGCTTTTGTCTATTAATATATTAGCAGATATTTGATCTCAAGTGCAATATAGCTTGGTTAATGATATATTTTCATTCTTTTCAATGTGTCTTGGTAGTACATGACAGTGCAGTCATCTTCATAATGGATGATCTTGCAAATAATGAGAACTAAATTGGTAGAGAAGTTGGATCTGGAGAAATTATTCTGAAACTCATTTTAGTTACATAATTATTGCAGTTAAACTGAGAGTATTTTCCAAAAACTTAGGGTAAGATTGAAATGGCCAGAGTCCTAATTTCCTTAAATTTCAGACTGGAATATAATATTATCAAAACAGAACTGAATGGACAGTCAACCCACTAGAAAAAAGTGTACATGGCACTTTTCCTCAGGATCATGAATTTTCCTGAATGATTCTGTGCAGGAACTCCCCTCCCTCCACCCCTTAGCTCCTGATAACAAAGAAAACTAGAAATAGAAACTTCATTTTAAAGCAAAGCAACGTTTTTATTCTGGACCAGCTCTGGACTCGTACCCACATGTGGCATAAAGTACAAATGGCAAAGATTAACATGAGTATCATCCACATTAGTACAGGTGCTGTCGTTGAGGTAGGCACTGAACTTGTCAGGGAAGGGCTCTGCAGCAGGTGCATGGAAGTCATCATTACTACCCTGGGTGAAGTTATCAGGCAAAGTGTCTGAGCCTGCAACATGAGCATTGAGTGCTGGGTAAGAATGAGGAGATGAAATACCCCAGCAACCCTACTGCGGACTGAATCACGCCTGTTTCTCCAAACTGAAAACAGTGTTTAAAACGTACAGCTCAGTTCTTAACAGAACTATATATATGTATGTACACACATACATATGGCTTATTTGTTGAACACTGGTTATAACAAGTGCCATAAAATATTGATATGAAGAACTAATGGAATCAAATCAGTTGAGAATATATATATATCCTCAATCTAGGTTATTTGGGTAAAGATTTTTTAAGTTCTTAGACTACCATCGTTACTATATTTGAGGAAGTTATGTTTTGAAAGATAGAGAAAATGTGCCTTGGCCCAACAACTATCCAGGCATTTATTCCAGACAAGGGTGAGAGTTACTACCCTGTTATTCAGCTTCATAAAAGCCGGTAGGTGCCAACCACCTGATTCAGAAAGTCACGTATCTCCAGTGACCACCTTCATCTTGTCACATTATTCTTAGAATTGGCCTTTAACTAATTTACCTGCATTTGCACAATAAGAATCAACATAATTTCTGATTCTCTGCTGGCAAATGTGGGTTCTATCTATCTCAAATGGAAGCATTGATGTACAAGAAGCTAATGGAGAGGAGTTGCTCTATAATGGCATCTGTGTGTGTGTGTGTGTGTGTGTGTGTGTGTGTGTGTGTGTGTGTGTGTGTGTGTGATGCTAGCAGGAATTTTAGGTTAGTGTTGAGTCAGTACTGACTGATGCACATATGAGCTTTATCCAGGTGCATGGAAAAAACCTTCAGTTACAAGTGTTTAACACAATGTCATATTGCAACTGTGAGGACCAATTCTTGGAGATTTTGGGTAAGCTGGTCTTATGAAGTGAAATTCAAATATTACAAATATTTGGTGGGAAAAAACTCACTTTTGTATACTTTAGTGCTATTTTTTCTCCCCTAACCTATAGTAAAAATGAAAGAAAGAATGACAATGAATACACTTTTGAAAGCTAGAATAGATATTAAATTCACATTGGTTGTCAGCAGTTTATCTCAGGTTGAGTCAGTAGTTGGTGTTTTAACCCTTTATGTGAGAGAGAAGCAATTTCGACAAACTCTTCTTGGATTTGTATGGTTTTTATGTTTATTTCAAGCAACATCTCTTAACCAGGCTGGATTCAAACTCCAGAACTCTTGACACTGGCTTTTAATGTTTTTGATGACCGCAACTTGAAAAGTGCTACTAGTCTCTAATGAGTAGAAGCCAAGAATGTTGCTGAAGATCCTACAACAGGAGTGTTCCCCACAACAGAATTGCTAGCCCCAGATGTCAATGATGCTCAAGTTGAGAAACTGAATCAAAAGTTGGCTTAATTTGTTTGTGCTGCATATACAAACACTTCCTGGCCAAGAGGTAGCAACAAATACAATCAATAGTTTACTATCACATTAAAAGTATATGTGATTTATTTAAAGTGAGATCAAATTATCACTTTGTAGAACTCTAAAAATTGAGACTTACATTTTTTCAGGGTTCTGGAAGGAATGAGACTGACTTATAATCTTTCTGCCTCAGAAAAATTTCACGTCATTGCAATTGTCACCTTACAATAACTAAATTCTTTTGTTGGGAAGCACTTTGGAGGACTTCTGTTTACATGACTTGCTAAAAATATTTTTCAAGTTGATTAAAATAGACAACAAAATGCTCTCTGAAGTCAAACCAGTAATGGGGATAAGGCCAATACCTTTATTATGTTTATTATCTTTAACTCTTCATCATGTGCTCTTGTTGCTTTGGGTTAAATATCTGCTCAGTAATGGTGGCACATAGATATTTAAGTCCCATGTAGGGACAGTTCTCACACCCTGTCTCCGCAGATGCTATAATCACAGTACAAGCTTGGCCTGCCAAGTCTAAGTATTTAGCTCGTACTGAATTTATTAGAACATAAACCACACTTGCATGGTAAATAATGCTATGCTTTTTTCTTCTATCGCAGAACCATTCCAGGGACAACAGAAAGTCAAATCATCATATTTCCAACTAACACAAGAGAGATACAGAATCCAGAGAGCTTAAATAATTCTTAAATAATTAGAAATTAATTTGCTCATGCATGCATTCATGAAATATTTGTTGAGTGTCTACCATGTACGGGTCACTGTGGTGAGCATCATTATCTACCATAGAATCAAATTTTGGATTAATTTAAGTCAGATCGCACAAGTCCTAGACTATTATTTCTAGATGTAACTCTTATTAATATTTTTGGAGTGATGGTTTAAATATTATTAGAGTGTATATAAAGGATTTATTATTATATGTCAAACTCTAAATGATTTACGTGACCTATCTCATGTAATCATATAATAAATCAGTGTCACTGAAGTCAATGAGACTCACTAGATGAAAGTAATACCTGGGAGGTCTATAGCTTCACAGTGGGAGAGCCAGATTCTCATCTGGTTTTG